ACAGGGGATGCAAGGATGGTAGCCTTTCAGGCTTGCAGCTCCCTAGAATCTATAAAGACGGGAATCCCCGTATGGTTCCATAGCAGTAGTCACAGAGAAGACTCAGCAGCCTTATGCTGTCTCCAGCAGAGTGGTCAGCAGACAAAAAGGCCTTGGAGAGTGAATTACTGGTCCTGTGCTCCATCCCCACCTTGCATCCACTGGTTATATACTAGAATTATTTTACCTTTTACGCTTTTGAATTTGAAAGCTAAGGCCTCCTTTCAGTGCCTGTAGAATTCAAAGAGCTACACTTCTTTTATTGTTCTTTTTTCTTCCAATTTAGGTCAAAATATCACAAACATAAATACATATGTTTAAAAGAATAATAATTGCTGGAGATATGGTATAGCAAATAACACAATGCTGCAGGTGTTCTGGAAACATCAACATGTAAAAATATTCAGGGATAATATTATGGACAGACGTAATCTTTAGCATGGATACCTTGATATCCACTTATGTTTCTCTCTGTTTGAATTGCATAAGCGACATTTTTGTTAATTTCAGATATAGCAAGTAAGGGTATGTATCCTGAAAGTATCATTAAAACAGCTTTTGGTATAGTTTATACTTATTTATTTTTATAAAGAAAAAATATATCCATGATTTTCATGTGTTGATTTTCCTTACTTTCCACATTCATTTTATCTGTGTAGCATAATTATTCTATTTGTCAAAATAGATTAAATCTTACAAAAAAAAACCCTTGAAAATATACGTGTTAGTACATTGTGCAATCAGTGCTAACATTTAGAGAGTGTCCATAGGGCTCTTTGTTTTCAGGTTTTATTTTATTTAATTTTCCCCAGGAATTTATCAGTATTTAACAATAACAGTATTTAACATAACAATAAAAACAGGTGAAAATCAGTGCAAAAAACTATTAATAATTTTTCTGGGTAAATATCAGGCTTTATTTTGTTGGACGGAAAGATGGGGAGGGGGAAGTATTCAGTAGATTAATGCTTTGAATTCTGTTCATCAATGTGGTTTGCTGCAGAACTAAAACAGATTTCAAAACACAATGCCACCTCTGAGTTTAAGAATACAGTAAAAAGAAAAGGAGTACTTGTGGCACCTTAGAGACTAACAAATTTATTTGAGCATAAGCTTTTGTGAGCTACAGCTCACTTCATCGGATGCATTCAGTGGAAAATACAGTGGGGAGATTTATATACACAGAGAACATGAAACAATGGGTGTTACCACACACACTGTAAGGAGAGTGATCAGGTAAGGTGAGCTATTACCAGCGGGGGGGGGGGGGGAGGACCTTTTGTAGTGATAATCAAGGTGGGCCATTTCCAGCAGTTGACAAGAACATCTGAGGAACAGCAGGGTGGGGGTGGGGGGTGGAATAAACATGGGGAAATAGTTTTACTTTGTGTAATGACCCATCCACTCCCAGTCTTTATTCAAGCCTAAGTTAATTGTATCCAATGTAGCGCAAGTAGAGTAGGGGCATTAGGGGACAAGAGTTGGACACAAATAAGACACAAATGGACACAAATCAGATGTGAAGAATTGTAACATTCAAAAACCACTCTGAGAACACTTCAATCTCTCTGGTCACTCAATTGCAGACCTAAAAGTGGCAATTCTTCAACAAAAAAATTTCAAAAACAGACTCCAATGAGAGACTGCTGAATTGGAATTAATTTGCAAACTGGATACAATTAACTTAGGCTTGAATAAAGACTGGGAGTGGATGGGTCATTACACAAAGTTAAAACTATTTCCCCATGTTTATTCCATCCCCCCCTGCCCCCGCCCTGCTGTTCCTCAGACATTCTTGTCAACTGCTGGAAATGGCCCACCTTGATTATCACTACAAAAGGTTCCGCCCCCCACCCCGCCCCTCTCCTGCTGGTAATAGCTCACCTTACCTGATCACTCTCCTTACAGTGTGCATGGTAACATCCATTGTTTCATGTTCTCTGTGTATATAAATCTCCCCACTGTATTTTCCACTGAATGCTCACGAAAGCTTATGCTCAAATAAATTTGTTAGTCTCTAAGGTGCCACAAGTACTCCTTTTCTTTTTGCGGATACAGACTACCACGCTGCTACTCTGAAACCTAAGAATACAGTATATCTCTAATCCCCAAATAAAACTTTTCATTTGAAATAAACAGTTTACTGTTGTAGACTTAAAACTATTAGCCTATAAATATTTACATTTAATAATTGGGATACACCATTTGCAGTGCATACACTCAACTTCATCCTTTTCTCCTGTTTTTTTTTTAAACTTTCAGATATTCCTTGTGTTCTGAAATGTATTCTCATATAGATTTTCATTTTCTTCCCATTTTACTGTGTCAAATCTTTAAATTGTTATCTGCTAACAGCTTGAAATGTGTACGTGCTAGGCGTGAGATTCCTCAGTACATTCAGATGCACACGCACTTCGGAGCTTGTGTGGCTGTTTGTTTATTCTGTGTATCTTCTAAACCAGGGGTTCTCAAAGTTCATTGCACCACTGCCCCCTTCTGACAACAAAAATTACTTCATGACCCCAGGAAAGCCTGAGCCCACCCAAGCCCCACATAGTGAGGCCAAAGGCCAAGCCCCACCACTCTGGGCAGGGAGGCCAAAACTGAAGATCAAGGACTTCAGCCCCAGGTAGGGGGCCTGCAACCTGAGCCCTGCTGCCAAGGGTTGAAGCCCTCAGGCTTTTGCTTCTGCCCTGGGCAGTGGGACTCAGGCTTTGGCCCTGAGCCCCAGCAAGTCTAAGCCAGCCCTGGTAACCCCATTCAAAGGGGGTCCCGACCCACATTGGGGTCCCGACCCACAGTCTGAGAACCGCTGTTCTAGACCAGCAGTTCTCAACCTACAGCTCATAGGCCACTTGTGGCCCAATCAGCACACAGCTACGGCCCATGTGATATCCTCAGGGCCATGTAGGTAGTATATATATTGTGTGGATGAGGCCCACATAACACAGAGAGAGCTGCATATGCGGCCCACAATGGTAAATAAGTTGAGAACCACTGTTCTAGACTAATATATAGCCTTACTTCAATAGGCAGCTTTGCATATACACACAGACTAATGTATTATCACAATACATATATCTCATGCAGTGTATTTTATTTTCCTAATAAAACGAGTTATTTTTATATATTTGAATGATATAAAAGTTGAGTGAAAATTAAAAAAATGAATACTTTTTGTAAAACCTGGGAATTTTTCAGTAAAAATTGATTTTGAACTGAAAGGAAGGGGCTTAAGTATCCAGCACAGTTGTTCTCAGTACGCTGTGTACATGTGTATGCACACATGGTGAACTATGAACTAGATGCTACTAAAGTAAGCAGAAATAGCGTTTCTTTTCATAATGGCAATCTGTTATCGTTTTGTTTAGTTTGCAAACCAGGATTTCAAAGTACACATTACTGCTGAACTTGAGCTTTATCTTCAAGATATTGAACTTTAACGTAAGAAATGCTGACGTCCATTACATTTTCACATGAACATTTCTTTATCAGAGATGGCATGATGTCTGTCAGCAAAACTTACTTTGGCAAAACATGCTTCAGAGGCCTGCAGAGGTAGCGAAACCACTCTGGGCCCTGAGCACCAAGGAGTCCAGTCCAGCAAAGAATTTAAACATTTCCCACTGATTTCAGTGAGACTGCTCACATGTTTAAAGTTAGGAACATGCTTAAGTGTTTTGCTGAATCAGGCTGTAGTGCTCAGTATCTTGCAGGGTCAAGCACTGTGAACTACAGAATCAAGCTGAATGGCATTTGCCTTTATCTTGTCTCTACTTCTTACTTTTGCCCTGTCTGTAAAGCAAGCTATAAAGGTAGCACACCCAGAGCTTAATTTGAAGCAGAACACTACTTTGGGGCTGTTTGATAGTTTGGTGTCACCTGGATTAGTGATGATTTTATGGTCTGAACAAGCTTTACTGTATGTGTGATGCTGTCTTGTGTTGTTCATGATTGTTTTCCATTTGAGCTATGTATGAATCTTGGGACTCCTACATTCTTGTGTATTTCTTAGCTCTCCTCATCTTACTAGTAAACTGAAATATTAGTATTTGTTCCCTGCTGGCTGAAAGCATATTTTAAATTTTTTTTTCAGTCTGTAAAAAATATCATAATTTTCTTTTTAGAACTTGTTTTCAATTTCATATTCCTTTGCACTGGACTAAGTATCCAAACAATGATGCCAAATATGAATCTGTGCCAATTACAGAAGTATTTCACTTCTCTCTATTAAACAGATAAATAAAAGGCAACCAAACTTCAAACACTAGGATGATCTGAAGTAAATTCAAATATTATGGATATTTTCCTATGTAGATACATTAAAACACCTAAGCATACAGACTGCAGCATGGCAAATATTATTCAGAGCTAATTTTTACAATGAGACTTTCTACGAATAGTAAACAATAAATTTGTGTCTCTATAGTTTCTATTTAATAGGGAGGTTGCTTTAGTATGTACTCAAACTTTGCTTAATATTTTTGTTTTCTATTTTTTTAAAATTTCTTATTCAGTTTACTGCCTGCACTTATATTTTCAAAACCCTTCCTTGTTCAAGTTTTTGTATATAGTTAATGCCTTTTAATTGATACATAACCTAAATATCTTAGAGTTTACTAATTATGGTATGGGACTTTAATTGCTCTACTATAGATACACAATACAAAAACAATTTCATTTAATTTTGAAATAAGTGTTTCAGAGTATAAAAAGCCACATATAGAGGTCTGAAAGTTTACTTACCCTGTACATACATTTTATCTGTAAAAATGCTTATGGCTAATGAATACTACCAAGTTTATAGTGAATTATTTACAGTTTAAATTAATTAAGATTATTTTTCTTAATAAGAGTATTGAGTTTATTATTTAGATAAGATTATTATGTTTTCCATTGTCTTGGTAAGAAATGTGATTTCCTAGTTTACATAAATTTGTTTCTCTCTTTTTTTTTAATAGCGAAAAATAAGATGGAAAGAAAACATGGGGTTAGTATTTATTTTTTTAACTCTGAAAAGTGTTTGATTGTTGTATTCAAGTAACATTCCCATTGTTCCTAACATAGTACATAGACATGCTGAGACAAAATCTCTGCTGATGTGAATGGACATAACCCCAACGGAAGTCAATTGAGTTGTACCCATTTACATCAGCAGAGAATCTGACTCACTGCCTTAGAGCCTGATCCGATGTCCATTGAGGTCAATGGGAGTCTTTTGACTTACTTCAGTGGGTATTAGGTCAGACCTTGACTCCCAGCCATTGCATACACCTAAATGTGAGCTAAGAAGAGCAGGGTGGTCTGTGAAGAGTCCTAGCACCTGACACTGTGTCACATTTGTTTCAGTTAAAGTGAGAATGTTTCAGTGAGACAAAGTTTTATTTATCAGCGTGTGAAAAAAAGACATATGTATTTATATACTTCATGCAGTTTGTAACCAAGTCTAACACACCTTATGGATTTGGCTTTTCTCATGCTCAAACTGACCTAAATCCGCTTCCTTTCAGCACTGCTTGAAAAAGAGTATCCAAACCTCCCCGGGCCAGACAGAGTGTGCAGACATTTATCGCTACTCCTGATTCCATTCTACTGAGATCAGAGCTCACTTTTTTTCTTTCTGAAGCTCCCAACAATATCTAATTGCAATTTCCTTTAAATCTCAATATCCAATTCAGTTATCAAAAAAGTCAAGTTTTGTGGCCAAGGATAAAAAATAAAGAGAAAATCCTGAAATAAAAATGAAGCAGAATGTAAACACAGCAAATATGTTCACTACAAAAAGTGTAGCTACTGACACATAGTTATGTGATGTAGTTAAGCAGGACAAGAGCTTTACATATTAGGAAGACCTTTGTTCATCTGACTGCTCTGGTATGTCTGTAGAAGGGGTGGTCTGTCTCATTTTTCTCTTATAGAACCCTAATAAGCAAATATATTCTAATGCTCATTTGTTGAAGATTTTATGCAATGTAATACAACAAAGTTTGTCAAGAAACTGTAAAATAAAAAACAAATTGCCTAGAGTAAGTTTGAATGTATTCTTTCCCATCCGTGTGTTTTATCATTTTTTATTATTTCTCTCTCAGTTGTAATCTTTACAGGAATACTTATTTCCATGAAGCACAAGGTTTCTCACTCCCAGCGCATGGACTACCATTACTGTATCTTCCATCAGTGTAGTCTCTTGGAAGAATGTCTCATTACCATGCAAGTGTAACCAGCTCTGAACTCAAGATCAGTGTTACAAAATGTCTCAGAACATACCCATCACTGCAGCAGATGTAATTCATAACAGTTGACAAGATACTGACCATCATACTGAGTTGTGTTTTTGTGAATGCCGTGGATTTAAATGTAGTATCACTTTAATATGATAGATAAAAGACACTAGTTTATACTTCCAATGTGGTGGACTCAATAAGTCTTTCCATATATAGCTTCCTTAATAACTGAGCAAATTGGTGGGAATTTCATTTGAGCTATGTTTAGAAGTTCCACTATTGACCAAAGCTTCTCAATTCACTAACTGCAGGCAGGATTTCCATTGTACAACTTCTTTCAATTGGACCTTTTTCGGCTGTTTTTCTTTGCATTGAATTGGATCTGAATTATTAACATTATTGCAATAGTCTAAATATAAAAATTACTGAAATCTCATAACATGATATCAAACAATATCAAATGCCACTTTTCAACAGCAATTAATTCCAGAAAAACTTGACCTCTGGAACAATTGATTTTTTAAACCTCAAACTAAATTATCTCTTATATTTAGCCTGCATATTAATATTGATTGCTTTTTAAAGCCACTATTTGATAATCTTTTTCACTTTAACTAACTGTAGCTGACATACACAATTATGTTAATCTGTATTCAAAGATCCTTCTGTACTTGATCTTTTGCCACAAGGGTTATATGGCTTAGTATCAAGATTTCCTGTGATCCCTATACTAGCTAGCCCCACAAGACTGTATTGTCCCAGTTTAAGAAGTCTGAACTATGAAATATCCAAAACAAGTTGTAGTTTATGAAATTCTTCTCAGAAGTTAGGTAATTTCTTATTGTACACACTAAAGCTTTCCAAGATTTTTAAAAAGCAAGGTATTAATCACAGAATTGACTGAAGTCTAAGGACCTGATCCTCAGGAGGTGTAAATTAACATAGCTCCATTGAAATCAAATGAAGATTTTCTTAAGATTTCATTCTGTAAGCTGCAGAACTAATAGCACCCTGCATCTTGCAGGATCAGGCCCATAGACAGTAAGCTATGAATAGTCATGGCATAAATATGAAAGGCCTAGAGCATTCTCCTGTTCCTTTTCTAGTTTCTCCACAGAAAACTCATTTTAAAATATAATTTGTGACACTGTTTCAGCTTTTCTATTTTCAAGGTACTGTAGCTACCTTGTAGTGTTCAGTAACAAAAGCTGTACTGCTCTGATAAATTATGATTTATAGCAGAGATGCCCACATTTTGAGACACAAAGGACTGTACTGAAAACTGGTTGGTACCTGACCATCATTCATACATGTAAATCATGTTATCAAAATTAAACAGTCATCCTATCTGCATCTACATTAAAACTCCTAGATAGATTAAGAGAAATTGCATGTTCATTGTCACCAGCAATAAAAACCTGCCGCTGATCAGTTTTATCCTTGCCCTGTAGTTATGGCAAGAGGACAAGATGCATTCTATTGAGACATTTTCAAAGTGCCCGTCACATTAGCCTTTAGGTTCCATGTGGGATGCTTTAGGTTGTGTTTTGGCCTTGCATGGAATATACTGTCTCCTGTTCCTATAGGTTTGGATTCAAACACCTTTTGTTATCCATCTGTTTTCCATTCCCCATTGGAATCCTTTTCTCTTAATTTGGTAGATAGAAAAATTCCTATATTTATAGCTAAAAATCCAGATCTTGTATATTTTTTTCAGTTAGCCCGTATTTTAGATCTGTACTATATTTGTGGGACTGTACTGACACTGAGAAGGCCAGAGTTAAGATATGGCCCAGTAGTTTGTGAAGCTAGTATGCTGTTGCTGCTGAGATGTAGATGTATCTGTTATGATTCATACTACTCTATTATCCTGTAGAGGTACAAAACAACATTTTAGGTGATGGCACAGAGGTACTTGTCAAAGTCACAGTGAAAATATACTAGATAGCATTTCAGTTTGTGTATAAAAGAGCTTACAGGTTCCAGTTTCAGGGCAGATAAAACAATAATGATTATTGGCTCAAAAACGTTAACCATTATGCAGAGCATTTTAGCAAACAAAAGGTTTTTAAAGATCTGTGCACATATATTGGTTGTATTTGCCTAATTTTGTACTCTGTTGCTCTCACCTTAGTACTCAGCATGCAACTCAATAATTCATGAATCATCAACTCTTACGGCTTAAAAGATCCAGCATGCAAATACTCACAGTAATATACTCATGTATTTGCATGCCTAAACTTTACCTTCACTGGGTGGAAATACTGGGTTCTACAGAGCTCTTTAATCTAGTGGGAAAAGGTACACAAGAACCAATATCTGGAAGTTAAAACCAGACAAATTCAAATCAGAAATCAGGCACAAATGTTTTAACAGTGAGGGTGTTTAACCACTGGAACAAACTACCAAGGGAAGTGGAGGATTCTCTTTCTCTTCTTGATGATTTCATATCAAGACTGGTTGTCTTTCTGGAAGATTTGCTTTAGTCCAACACTAAAGGTTCATCATTTGCACCTGAAAAGAGAGCTCTAAAAATGTCACTAGATTTTAATATAAAACTGTAATTGAATAATAACAATGTTTTGCATATTTTGGGATACTAGTCAGAACTACTGTAGACATTAGAAGCCTAGCACCCCAAATATGCAATATATGAAGTTTTTATTCAATTACAGTTTTGCCTAGCTCCATTGCAGTCAATAGATCTAACTACACTGGTATGCGATAACTGACCTGTAACTGGTAACATTTGTACTGACTCGGGCTAGAATTATGGATTGTGGCCAGATAATGATCCTCTTTATACATTTCATGGCTTTGTTGGAATTCACATTGTACCATTGTTCCCCTTCAGCCAAGTTGCCTTGGTTTTCCACTCAGCATCTTCTTCATTGTCATCAATGAGTTCTGTGAAAGATTCTCCTACTATGGAATGCGAGGTAACTTCCTTTTCAATCTTCACCCACTTTTGGTTTCAGTTACTGATTATCACCTCCCTAACAGATTGTTTTGTTCCCCCTTCTAGCTGTGCTTGTTCTGTACTTCAAATTTTTTCTCCACTGGGATGATAACCTATCTACAGCCATCTACCACTCATTTGTTGCTCTGTGCTATTTGACTCCAATCCTTGGAGCAATCATTGCTGACTCCTGGCTGGGAAAGTTCATGTGAGTGCTTATTTAAAAAGAAAAACAATCAAATGAAGGCATGACTGAAAAAAACAATGACATTCCAACTGTTGCTTTAGGGAAAGAGTGTTTTAAACCACCCTCGGGATTCAAGAATACTCTGTCAGGAGCTGGTGTTCGTGAATTCAGATTTGTAGAGAGGCTTCAAGTTTTAGTAGGTTTCACTCAGAACTGGAAGTGAGGAAAAGCTTGAGTCACTGACAGAAATGTTCACTGGGACAGAGAGAGTGTGAGAATGATTCAGGTAGGGCACTCACCAGGGAAGTGGGAGACCCAAGTTCTAATTCTTTTGCTGAATATTTAATTATTTATACACAGTAGAACAGCTTCAACAGGAGAGATCTGCCCCAGACTACTACATAGCCCAGTGGTTAGGACATTCACCTTGGAGTGGAAAACCCACATTCAAATTCTCTCTCTGCCTCAGGCAGAGGTTAGATTTGAACCTGGGTTTCCAAAGTCCTGGGTGGGTGTGCTAACCACTAAACTAAAGGTTATAAGGGGTGAGGGCATCTCTGTTGTCTTTGTCTTTTGTGGGGGTTTAGGTGTGCTTTGCGCATGCCTACCTGATCAGGCTCTGAAGGCAAGATAGTCCAGCAATGCATAGTTTCTGGTCCCACTGAAGCTTAGGAGTTAGTTAGGCACCAATCTTCTGGTTGGTATCAAGATTTAGTCAGCTGTGTGCATGCCCAGCCACTGAAATGTAGCTCTTTGAAGACTTTAATGGGGGAAACATAGGCATCTACAGGGTTATGTGGCAGCCAAGCAGGAGATTGTGATTGCCCGTTGCACCTAAATGTTTGACTTAGAGGTCTAAAGTAGCACACTGTTTAAATCCCTGATCTTGCAAAGGCTTACTATGAGTTCAATTGGATTACTCCGTTGGAACCTGGAACTTGAGTCTTGACAAGTGGCAATAATATAAAACTTTTGATTTACTTCTAAAATATGCTTTTGTGTCATTTTAAAGCAAAAAACTACACTGTAAAATTCATGAGGAAGGTTAACAGACAGGACTGTGTGGAGGTTAGCCAAAGTACTAATAATTATAGCATTAATATCATGGTGGGTCAATCCTCAAGTAACCCATCCACTGTACCTGTACACTATCTCTGTGTGGGAGTACCCTCAGAGACTTCCTCCATACTTTGTTGGACAGGGAGCTCTAGTCTGTGGAAGAGGATACATAGCATTTTTTAAATGTGCTGTACATACAAATAAATTATACAGAACCAATTGCATTAATCAGGAGTGGCCAAACCATGGCTTGTGAGTGGTATGCGGCTCTTTTACAGTTAAAATGCAGCTCGTGGAGCCTCCGAGGTACCCTCCCATTCTCCACCTACCAGATTCAGGGGTGGGAGGAGCTCAGGACCTCTACCTTGAAGTGGGGTGCTAGGGTTGGGGTTTCTGCCCAACAGGAAGGGGTGGGGGGTCTCAGGGCTTCAGCCCTGTGGGGTATGTCTGCTGGGGCTCAGGCTTCAGCAGGAGTGGGGCTGAAGCCCTGAACCCCAGCAGGTGTGCCCCAGCTCTCAAACTTCTGAAGAGTGTCATGTGCAGCTCAGAGGGTAAGTAAGCTTGGCCACCCCTGGCATAAATTGTCTCTCTATTGCTTATATGGTCCTCATCACTGTAGTATCTGAACCTCCCAAATAAAGAACAGCAACAAGATTTTCTCACTGTCAGCTCAGACAAAGTCTCGCTCCTAACTGAAATGTTTTTCCCATTGTCGTTAAGACTAATACCTAAAATTATTATAACTGACAGAGATTAGAGACAAATGTAGATGTCTGTGGATTTGTACTAAGAAAACATTCAGCAAAACATTTAATCACATGATTAACTTTAATCACATGTTTAAGTCCCATTGAAGTTAAAGTAAAGAACATGTTTAAGGGCTTTGTGAAACAAGAATGGACATAAGTTTAAAGTTATGAGTTTCTTGATCACACTACAATATGCACACTCAGTTGCCCAATGCAATGGCAACAGAGAAAGTCATGTTTGGTGCTAGCAGTCAGCACTACGATCCTGATGCTAGTCTTATATTTTAGTCTTTCATAGATGAATACACTTTAATCTAAGCGAACCAGCTAATGGGCTATTCTCATTATGTGTAGTTTTCATTATTTTCCCATTTCAGTTTCAATGAAGAAAATTAGAAAACTATAAATAGTTATGTACCCAGAGCATAGGTTGAATATTGTAGGTAGAATGCATATACAATTTAAATTTCACAATATATTCCATTTAAATTTCACAATATTACTTTTTTTCCTCACTTGGTTATTAAAGAGGAAATCACTGAAGCACTGGCAGATGGTGCAATCACAATATGTAGATGTTAAATAACATGTGTGAATACACACCTTTTTTCTAATATATTTTGTCTCATTACCTTACTTTAATTTAATTAAGGAATATAATTAAATTATTGATTTTGCTTAAGAGGAGATTACTTTTAAAATAAAGTATCAAACGTATAACTGGTATGGGATAAATTGTTTATTATTCAGGAAATGTTTTGATATATTTACAGTATCTTGTGATAAGATTCTCATAGCTATTTCATGGTGAATTTATTCATCCTGTTTATTCTAACTTATTCTTATCTTTCTGCCTGAAACATTCTTGTGAACTAGAAAGAAATCTGAGTTAGCTGTGCAGCTAAAAAAACATATTTTCTGTCTTCTTCCTTTACAACAGGACCATTGTCTCCCTGTCCATTGTTTATACCATTGGACAGACGGTCATGGCAGTAAGTTCCATAAATGACTTGACAGACTATAACAGGGATGGAATTCCTGATAACATTCCATTACACATGTAAGTTGCATTACACATTTCTGTCTTCCAGATTAATGCATGATGGAATAATTTAGTTCTTTAATTTACTGTACTTGTTACTTAAATTGTCTAATGATCAGCTTCTCCTTATTTACTGCTACTTTTATAAGGAAGCTGTCATATCCATGTTGTTATATGACCCCTATAATGTGGCAAAGACCACTGAAATTTATATTGATCTGCTGCTTAAAAACCTGCCCTAGAGCAGCTTGAATTTACACAATCAATTTCCCCAAGATTGTACAGTTTTAGAGAAGAGAACCTATGAAGTTAACTACTTAAACAGTTTCTCCCTTTTATTTTTATGCACCTGAAAAGTTTCACAGTATGTGTGCAAAATTCAAACCATACTGATTTCACTTAATTTAAGTGAGGCAGTCATTTACCTCAAGGCAGACCTCTTTCATTCAAATGTTATTTTAAATCTGAACTCTGTAAGAGAATGACTACAAAGGCAGACTAACTCTATTTTGAATATGAACTATACATTTTGTGAGTTTTGCTAGTCAGACTACAGATTTTCATCACTGCACAAGGTCTGTGCAAAATAGATTCTCTGAAACTGTGTAGTTAATAAAATATCCTATTTTACTTTCATCTGATTTTGGAGCTGGAATTTTAACATCTAGAAATATATTATGCAACATACGACACCATTCACTTTGCTTCATAAAACTATATCTTGATTTCCAAGGAAAGTATATCAGACTCCTGAATAAAATAGAGTATTTCTCCCAGATAAATGAGCCAAGAAAGAATATCTTAAGAACAAGCTAAAGTTCATTACTTTATCTTTGCTTTCTGGCACAGCAGAATATCATGTGCTAGAGACTGTCCTGCACTTCCAGCACAGAAAGCACAGGCCAGGATGAGCAGGGGAAAAGATGGTTTTATGCCACCTTTCTACTGCCTGCATTCTGGGCTGCTGCAGGGCCTGAAATGGCCCCGGTATAACATAGCTCAGCCCCAAGAGCTGCTTTAACTTACTGCAGCTTTGGGTGAGCTGCCTAAAGGCTCTCTGAAGTCCAGAATCCCCATAGTGCTTAGTGCTACAATTGTACCTCCATCGCTAATGCACCACCTTGTGTCCCTGGCCCCAGCATGCCCTCCAAGCTGGTGCATCTAATCGGGGCAGTGTAGGGCTGCTTAACTCAGCACTATGCTGTTCCTGCACTGGGGTAATTCTTCCAGCCCATTACATTTCCTTCAAGCCAACCCAGTGGCATATATAGACCAGAAACTGGTCAATGACATTTTTGAATGTTAGGACACAGTTAAGAATTTCTTTGTTTAATGCTCTTGCTATTAGCAAGCATGGGCATTTCTCCTTGTGTGATGTTCCTTTACCTATATTAAAGTAAACCGAGTGACATTTTCCCCCTTCCCCAGTGGTCTGTCTATGATTGGTCTGATCTTAATTGCCTTTGGTACTGGTGGAATCAAGCCCTGTGTATCAGCATTTGGTGGAGATCAGTTTGAAGAGGAACAGGTAACAATATTTTTCAAACATAGTTGGACTCATATTTCATTTTTTAATAATAATAAATATACATCTTCAGATGGTGCCCATTGCTCTGGTACTTGGGTGTCCAAAAGAAGAGCTAGATACTACTACTGTGTTCTCTACAAATACATACACTGTGTCATCAGTACTAATTATTGAGCTGACTCCAATCCTACATTGTAATTTAGGCCAGCAGAGTCTGATCAACATAATACTGACTAATCATGTTCTAAATAGTTCTTTTAAAATTTATTTTCTTACTCTCACTGCAGGAAAAACAAAGAAGTAAATTCTTCTCTCTATTTTATTTGTCTGTTAATGCTGGAAGTCTCCTCTCTACTATAATCACTCCAGTTCTCAGAGGTAAACTTGCACTGATGTTGTCTACAAACTGGTTAAACAGCAGAGCAAAAAGAATAAGGCAGCGGGGCTGGCTCACTTATTGGATTAGTACTGGATAAGGGTATTTTAGTTTTAGGCAATTACTTTGCGTCCACCCAGAAGTCATTACCATCTGATGGCTTATGAGACATGTTTATAGTTTCAGTTTATTTCTCATGTAGAAATGTCAGTATCGTAAAACCTCACTGTCATAGTTGATGCTAATTGGCATCTTTCTTTGCAGTCTCAGAGAGGCTCAAAGTTGAATGACCATGGAGACTGCACTACTTTCACACCTGATAGGAAGGTGGGGAAGCAGCACTGTGACTCTTTTGTAGCTCAAAGAAGGCTTTGTTCTACAGTGATATTTAACACAGCATCTTTTAAATCACCACTAAAATCACAAAAAAAGGAGAGGAAAAGAGTATCATTAGATTTCTCTTTTGTGGGGGGGAGGGAAAGGAAAGAAGAAAGGGAGCTTTTTATTCAGAGGCTTAAGGGTATTACAAAAGATGCACACATACATAATATATAGACACATACACACTTAAAATATACAACAAATTAAGTCAAAATTTTACTAATATCAAAATGGAAGTTTTTATGTGTTCTAATTATGAAGGTCTCTGTGATTTTTTTTTAATGGAAGTGACATCCTGCTAAACATAAAGCAAATTCTAAATTACCAGTATCTGGGTTCATTCCTTAATAAACTGTACATGATTAAATATACTTGTTTTTCTGTCCTTCCTTCCTATGTTTAACTCTGATTATGTAGTGTAGTGACTATTCAGACATGCACACGCGTACATATGTAAGTGGAGTATGTGTTTTGCTGTATGATGGATTATAGGTTTTATTGTCATGACTTTGGAATGGCTGCTTTCTCAAGAATGGCAAAGCCACAAGTGAATTGTACAAATGATCCCAAATAAGTGTAGCTCAGACTTGGACCTTTTGATTTCTGGTATTCTGTTCCAGTTCGTTGCTGTCATTTTATTATTAGTTAACACAATTTGCTATCCTTCCTAGGATAGATGGCAGATGAGCATATGAAAAAATATATGAGACCCTTCTTTGCTGATATACCATTGAAAATGCCTTCTGCGGTTTGAACAGGAAGAGTCAACCAAAGGAAGAAAGATAGGACTTTATATAATGGTTTGACTAGAAAGCTGACTAAACTGTCAGAGCAAGACAGATTAGTTGCTAGCAGGCTAGTATACTCATAGGTAAATTATTTAGCTTCAATGTTAGCTGACACTAGTATACAAAACTCCTGTCTAACACTGTTTTATTTCCTTCAGGTGAAGAATGTGGAATTCACACCAAGCAAAAGTGTTACCCACTAGCCTTTGGAGTGCCTGCTGCACTCATGGCTGTTTCATTGAGTATGTTGCATGTTTTCCATTTTATTTACTGCATAAATTATCTTTATTATATTGGCCACTTTTTATACGAGAAGGGCAAATAAAACTATTTGCTTAGAAATGTGGAGTTAAAGGGGGAGGCTGCCTTATTCTTTATAATCCAAAGTTCCTGAGGTAACATTTGCATTACTGCAGATTAACATCATACAGAGAAATATATATGCACGGTAGAGAGCTCCATGTGTTGTAATTGCTTGGGTGTGCTGCTGCAGTCTAGAAAGGGAAAGTATAAATATACATTTATGTACCACTGATCAGGGGTTACATAGCGTTATGGACAAGGTTCAAACTATGGCAGAAATATTAAAGTAGAAAATTGATGGAGTACATCTCCTCAGGTTACTAGTCCTGACTCCCTCACAACATCCCAAAACCTGATCAGGGGGTAAGAGAGATCTCATATTAGAGGCACAAATGAAGGGTTAGGCTTGGTACCTTTGCTCTGGAAATAGCAGTCAAATCAAAATCTGACAATTAAGGAGAAATTGTCTAATAAAAATAGTTTTACTATTAAGGGTCAAATTGTGGCCTGGCCCGCGTGGCAGTGCCAGACCTTAAGGGAGTGTAAGATGTGTCCCCATGTGCCCCTGCACCAGCTACCCACATCGTGGGTGATTGCACCAGAGGAGAAGCAAGATCCACAGATCTATTACATCCCTCTTCATGCACGTGGATGGGAGTGGACAGACCCTTGTTTCCACCCCCCACAATGTACATTGCTGTGCCAGCATCTCAGGGAGCCTGCTCTGTTCCTGCTATAGACCTGGTGCAGTTTACTCCCTCCCTGGAGCAGCGGGGGAACTTCCATGAGAGCAGCTCCAGAGGCAGCACAAGAACATACTGCCCGTTATTTGTGTTCATGACAAAACCTCAAATAAACCCTAAATGTTCTGCATGACACAGTTTGCTTTAGTTTATGTGGTACTATCAGGAGCATTCATGGGCAGTAAATAAATGTGAAAGCTTTAAATAAGGGAGGTTTTTCAAAGCTTTCATCAAATATCCAAAATTAAGATGAGCACAGAATAGAAATAGAATAGAAATATATTAATCAGTAATTGCAGATGCACTGATGAAATATTGCATTGTCCTTCTGTATCTAACCATTTACTTGATTGTGAAAAACCGCTGCATTTTACCAGCTGCACTGCTCAATGAGCATTGCAGTCCAAAGACCAAGGAATTATTTTGTTATAAGAAGCCTTTCAGAGTTCCATAGAGGATAAATTAGCTGCACTATCCAATACACTTGCTCTTCCAAAATTACATCTTTAATTAGAGGTTGTATTAGTAAAATACAGCAGACCCAGACCTAAGGCCCCTATGTGTTTTGTTTTGGTCCTTACTCAGGCAAACTTCCTATCCATTGAAAACAACATATATTTGCCTGAATAAGGACTGCATAAGAATCTGTTTACAAATCTGATAAAGTATATTAGATTGATTAAAAATTAATTGAAAAAATATGTTAATAACTGTTTTATTGCTCTTTAAAATGCTGTTTCCCACTCAGGCTTGGTTTGTTTTAACCTCTTTGTCATTATATTTTGTATACTAAAGTATTTTCCTCTAGTTTCAGTCAATCCTGAAATGCTTTTCTGTTTACTCATTGTAGTAGTGTTCATACTTGGAAGCAAAATGTACAAGAAAGCTCATCCTCAAGGCAATATAATGCTCCAGGTTTCCAAATGCATTGGAGTAAGTAATGCCAGACTACCTGGAAAAGCGTGGCTGGACTTTTCAAATGGAGTTGGTCTTTATTACCTATTGATAATTTTTATGACATTCATAAACTTTGTAGGTTTCAGAGTAACAGCCGTGTTAGTCTGTCTTTGCAAAAAGAAAAGGAGGACTTGTGGCACCTTAGAGACTAACCAATTTATTTGAGCATGAGCTTTCGTGAGCTACAGCTCACTTCTGAAGTGAGCTGTAGCTCACGAAAGCTCATGCTCAAATAAATTGGTTAGTCTCTAAGGTGCCACAAGTACTCCTTATAAACTTTGTAGTTTGCAAACTGTTTATTCCATTTCAGTCAGGAGTAAAATTCCACCATAATGTTGCAATTATTTCTGTCACAATTAATCTGATCTTTTGGTGTAAAAGAAGATTCTGAGTTTTTGATATTCACTCTGATTTCTATTTGTTTTTCTTAATTGAGCCTAACACACACACACACCTTAAATTATCCTGTGTTGACTTGATTTCAAATCATCCACTTTTAAACAATCCAGCTGCTAAGGTCTCTTAATTTCAGTAAATGTTAGTTACTATTATGTAATTAGTTAGTTGTATTATCATGATTCCTTGAGGCCTCAAGCAAGATCAGGGCCCAGCTGTGGCAGAGACTTCAGTGGGGCTTAATGCAGGTTCCCTCAATCCTGATCTGTAGTACCCCCCTGTTATTCCAGTCCTGCGCTCCCCACATACAGGTCTGCCAGTATAACTCTAGCACAGCTACGTAATATTTTTTGTTGGCATGAGGAATTCATTAGAAAATACATATTAATGTTTCATGTAAACAAAATTTATCCTTAAAGTGTAATTCCATTCTGAAGAATTGCTGTGTAAAACTGAAACTATCTTCTTATTTTATTAAACACTGAAAGTGTACTCTGCAAAAACCTGTGTAGACAAGGCCTCAGAGAATTGTCAGCAGCACCCAGTGTTAAGAGGCAATACCTATTTTTCTGAACTGCTTGGTTTCTTCTGATATTGGGACTGTTTTACTGAATCCACAACATATGAGACATATAGCAGAACACTTCCTTCAAGTGTTTAAAACAGTTTCATAGAAACATTCACCTTTTAATAATAATAAAAATAAATTAAAAATAAATTGAAGAATATAAATTGCTCTGAAAGAAAGTTTCTCTTATTATAATAAGTCACTTTAACCTTATAGTTACAAATATTTGTTGCGTCATGTTTAAATGGTATTCAGTGTAATTAATACAAATTTATTAATGTTCTTTTCACAGTTTGCTGTCAAAAACAGGTTTCAGCATCGGAGCAAACAATTCCCCACAAGAGAACACTGGCTGGACTGGGCTAGTGAAAAGTATGATGTAAGTATCATTTGTGTGTACACGAGCACATGTGCATGGATAGATAGATAATGCCTTCCTCCCTTTTTTCTTTTTTGTTCCATCTGCCTTGTTCACTAGTTACGCAACCCCATACCAAATACAAGGGGAGCTAATGCTGTGTCTGTCTACAGTAATCAGAAGCTAGTGCTCTAGCTAGATCTTACTGCTCTAACAAGACAGGATGGTTATCATCATGGCTTAATGTAACTTCAGATTGTCCTCCAGGTATCAGGGCTCTGTGCATGATCACATACTGCACTGAGGAAACTCTAGTGGGCTGAACATAATTATATTTCTCTCAGAACAAATACTTAAAATTACCTGGTAGCAGTTTCAATATGATACCAAGTATTTTATCTCCAATGTAGATTTTATGGCCTTAATATAAATGATCCAGCTTCAAAATACACTTTGAATGAAAACACACAATATATATGATAACACATGTGAACAATGCACATTACACTAATGAGGATTATAGTCAATGCCCAGTGGACTCCATGGTCATGAAATTTGTCCGTGAATCCACTCCAAGCTGCAGAATTGTGCTCCAGAATCTAAGCTTACATTAAAAAAATATAATAGGGGCAAATCCTCAGTTGGTGAAATTGTCATAGGCTCCTCAAAACCAATGACCTATAACAATTCACACAAACTGAGGTTCCTAGCCCTCATGCTTGTGAAAATAAGCTTGAAAATATGAATCAAGTGTAACCAATGCAGTAATGTGTTGCTTTGCACAGGGCCTTTATTATAATATGGCATCCCTTCACTGGTAATCCATACTGAGTTCAAACTCCTTGTCATGGCTTTTAAAGCCCTACAGCTATTCAGCCCCAATCTATGTCTCCTTTTAGGTGGCATCCCACACTCCCTAATGATTTTTCAATGGTGACACAAATCTCAACCTTCCTTCTGTTTCTTCTCTGATTCCTGCCTACATGACATCTTATACGTAGCCCCCATTCATTGAAAACGCTCCTCAGAACCACCTCATCGTTCAAATCCCTCTTAAAAATTTGTTTCTGCAACATCACCTATCAGAAATCAGATAAATAATACAAAACAAATAACAAATAACAAAGTCTAGTTCAATGTAACTATCACATATATGTAGAGACCTTACTGAGTAACAGTGGACTTTATTTACATAACCCCCTTGTCCTTTCTTCACACACACACCTGCACACGTTTTGTCCGTTTATTCCCTTCACCTTAATTTAGGCCCCAGTAGTGCAAAGACTTACACACGTGCTTAACTTTAAAGGACTGTAAATAATTCCATTGAAGTCTAAAGCACTACTCACAATCTGTAAAGTTGAGCAAGTGTTTAAGTCTTGCATGATCAGGACCTTTGTTTCTAATATGAATTAAAATATGATATGAATAGCAATAGTATGAGTAAAATATGAATAATAGTAATAGTCTTAGTCTTAGTATATATATATATATATATATATATACATATAAAACTTGTGGTTTAGTTGAATTTACCTATTTTTAGCAACTTTTTTATTTACTGTTCTGCACTATAGAAACGACTTATTACACAAATTAAGATGGTCTTGAAGGTGCTTTTCCTGTATATTCCTCTCCCCATGTTCTGGGCACTCTTTGATCAGCAGGTAAGGTAGACAAAAAATGTACTTTTTTTGTAAGTACATGTACAATTATATTCAGTCATTATGTTATGAAATCAGTGGGCAGAATTTAAATTGGTGGTAATGAAAAATGGTACTTATGAATTTCACAGTTATTCATATACTGTACCTATTAAGTTATTTTATTTATCTCTCCTATTATACACTAACTGCTTCTTGTAAAGTTTTACCTGTATGATCAATTAATATTTCAAACATATATATTACAAAATAAATCTAAGTTGACACAATGTCAGCAAAAATATTAAAGATAAAATCCTCATCTCGGTTCCAGCTCTTATATGCTGGGTAAAAAAGACCAGAGCAGCATAAAAGGCCTCTAAAAGCCCCAGTTCTGTCTGGAGGAGGATTCTCTGAGTGCAGACACTGTGGAAGACAGCCATAAAGCTGCTCTCCAAAGACCCCATTGCAAGTCCAACATTTTCCTTTAGTAGTTCAGGATCACACCTTTATCAAAGATTGACAGAGAATAGTAAGGAAGTAATCTTAAGGAAAGTTTTTGTCTTACTTTATTATTGATTCCCCACCCTCTCTATTCTTCCCTTTCTAAAAAAATTCAGAAGTAACTACAGCAGACTGCTTTATTGTAGAATTTCATTATGATTTTGCTTTATTAAGGGATCAAGATGGACATTACAAGCCACAACAATGGATGGAAACTTTGTAGGTTACTTTATCTTAAATTTTTAAAGATTTATTCACATTTAATTTGTTCTTATGCATTTTGTTAGTCTTCTAATGTTAAAATATATTTACCTTTTCTTTTCCTTAGGGAGCTATTCAGATCCAGCCAGACCAGATGCAGGTACACTAAACTACATTTGTGATATTTTTAAATACTCCCCAAAGACTTTTTTTTAAATCACTATTTAAAAAAAGACTTTGAAAAGTGCTTAACTTCTTTTTCTGGATTTTTACATCCAACAGACCGTGAACCCGATTCTGATTGTTATTATGGTCCCAGTTGTAGACACTGTGGTTTATCCTTTAATTAAAAAATGCCACATCAATTTCACGTAAGTTAATTCATATGCCTGATTTAATCTTTCAGTGTATTTTAATGATTTATCTTAAAGTGCTGTGTTGATAATATTGTGACAGAGCAAGCTTTCACTAAGATAAGGAAATCCAAGGTGTAGAACTATTAATAATGAGTTAATATAAAAAGTATTTTATGTTTCTGAACCACTTAGTTGCAATCATATATAAAGCTCTAAGAACAAAGAGAAGGAGAACCCAGCTGCAGGGGGCAAACTACAGAGTGGAGATGAAATCCTGCCCCCTTTGAAGTCAATGCCATAAATCAAACTGACTTCAAGAGAACCAGGATTTCATCCTGGTTTCTTCCTTTCTTCATTCTTTCTTTCTATTTTCTATTATAAAAAATAGACACATAGTTACTCCTATCTTGTGCGAGTATCTTTTTGCCTCAGAAGTGGAAGAAGCCAGATATACTTTCTGGTAGATCTTAGACTGCACTTTACGTTGTGAGTAGAGCTGGCCAGGAATTTTTCGATTAATCACTTTTTTGTAAAAAATGACAATTCAGTGAAAACTAAACTGTTAGCAAAGTAGGGTCAGGTCCAATAAATTTCCTGACTCAAGTAAATGTTAAGAAAAAAAGTTTGGCAATAGAGTGTCAAAATTAAAAATTTCATTTTTATGGTTCAAAATGACTACTTCTTTCAAAATTTAAACTATTTAGACTGAAAAAAAGTTGCAAAAAAGGGCAAAATCAATCAAAATAAAACAGTTTGATTGATCCAAAATGGTAAAAATTTGTTTTTTTGGTTCACGAGGATTTTTGAGATTTTAACTTTTTGTCCGGAATCAAGACAGGTAAAAATTTTGAACTCTCAAAAATATTAATGGAAGAGAAAAACCATTTCCTCATCAGCTCTAGTTGTGAATGCTGCTATTTATACCTTCATGTAGCACGATCTGTTACTAGCAATACAGCATGGATAGGAATGCAGTTTGGAAAGATGGAAAAGGTTCATTGGCTGAAACAACTAAGGGAAAAGGGTACTTTTTTCAGCTGAGTTAGCTCAATCAAGCTGGCTTAATAGGGTTTTTAAGTGTGTTAAGTTAGCTTGATTTGAGTTAACTCAATTGAAAAAAGAACTTTCCCCCCAAGTCTAGATAATTCTATACACTATAAAATGGGTCTTCCATTTTTAGGAGTCATTCTAGGTTAAGACTCAGTGGCACGAAGACATAAAATTAGGCTAGAATTCAGCCAGATGCTCTCTCATAACTGAGTCTTAGGAAGGGGTGATCCATTATAAAGAAGCTACATGAATTTTGTTACTGGGATTTTTTAATTAATTAATTAATTGATTTTTACAGGGTTTCAAATTAAAGTTCCCTCTTTTTGGTATTTACAGTATATTCCTGAGTTCTTTCTCTGATTCTCTTGCTTTCCTCATTGAGTTTATATAAGTCTACAATCCATGTTTCTAGTACTACAACTGTAGTGTGCCCAACAAACAGTCACAACTGATGTAGGGGAATTATTGATAAATTTAGTATCAAATAAAGCAATAGTAAAAGAAATTTAAAAATCAAATTTCCTGACTGTGTACTGTTCTTTTCTGATCCATTTATTGTAGTTAGCTTTTATCCATTTATGAAAATTGTTGTGGGAATGTGAAACTCCCCTATTGCAAACCTGCTGGCCCTCCCATCCTCTTCCCACTAAGATTTTGATTACATTAGAGAGACAGAAGATTTTATATTCTTTACTGGGAATGAAAATGTTACTTGGCTCCTTCATACATGGGCCCTCCACAGCCATAGTTTGATGCCATAAATAAATAGTTTGCCCTAAACTGACTTTTATTGCCATGGTACTAAATGTAATCATTGCTTAAAATGTCATTAGACCTAAAAACCATATCTCTCCAAATTTTTTTTTAGTTCAGTACTTTTCAGATTTTAACATAGTAGTATATGCATAATAAGTAATCTTCCTTTTGTACAGGCCATAACTATGCACTTCTGTAGCTCTTTTTATTCTTTGCAGACTTAAATGTGTTAAGTTCCCTTTCTGAGTAAATCAGACTTTTTAGGTCAACTGTGCAAACCTAATAATTGTTCAGATGATAGCTAATCATAGAAATGAGCCATATAGATCTTGAGCAACAGATTATTAAACGGACTAGTGATGTAATTTCAAAGAGTCTAGATTTCCCTAAAGGGTAACTGGGAACTAACACTGAGATATGTAAGGCATAACAGGGTATCTTCTGTAACCATATCAGTACTCACAGGGTAATAATATACTAACAATGGTTATCTTAATGTTCTCCATAATGAAATGGAAAATCACAGCTGAGTTTTTGGATTAAAACTACTCCTAAAATTCATGTTTTTTGTTGCTATACTAGGCCCCTAAGGAAGATTACAGTTGGTATGTTTCTTGCATCTCTGGCTTTTGTTGCTGCTGCACTGGTACAAGTTCAAATTGATGTAAGTTAAGCCAAACACAACCAAATGATGATATTGCTATTTAGCTTTTTAATTACTATGCAGATTTTGGTGAGAGTGCAAATGGTCCAAACCATAGCAATTAATAATTTCTTTCTATATGAATTAACCAAGAATGTTTTTATAAAAAATAGAGGGAAGGGCACGTATTGGTATATATGTGTTATGGAATGTAATGTGATCTATGATAAAATTAATAAGCTAAACGAGTTCCTCAACAGCATATTCATATCTGTCTTTGTTATGGGTTTTTAATTGAAGTTCAGAGCTTAAAATCAGAAGACTTAATTGTTTGGTTTGTTCAGGAATTCTTTTGCATATCTGACCTTTTTGATTTGTTTTGAGTGGAGGGTAAGTGTGACACAACCCCAGAGCTATGTGATGTCACAAATTAAGAGTGAAACGCTGTTGATTTAATGTGTGAATCCATTGGAATAGAATGAGTTTTACTTTCAACACTGCTTGTTAAAGATAAGATTAAAGGGCTAGATCTTCAGCTGGTGTAAATAGTATAGTTCCATCTTGCTTTATGAATTTCACCCAAAATGATTAGCTACCTATAGAAATTTTTTTAAAAAGATCAAAGAGCTTTTTTTTATGGTGATATATGCAGACAATTGAAAAGATGATAACATTAAAAGCTAGGTAGGGTAGTACTTGTGGGAAAGAAATTAAAATGCATATGGCTACCAAATCTCAATGCACACAGGTACAGCGGCCATTTTATCCACTAATATGGTGGCTTCTTCTTGTCAGAATAAGTGGGAAGTGAAAATGGAGCCTGGTTTCTCTCTTTGGCCAGAACACAGAGGGTCAGATACCTTCCTGCTGGAGGGTCCCACTTTTGGCTACACCCTGGTTAGTCACCACCTGTTGTAAATGGGACAGAAGACAGGATGAAAGTGAATTCAGAAATATGGTCTGTTGTAGACTGTGAGAAAGCCTAGGAGCCCTTGATGCCTGTACCCTGAGTCCCGAAGGGTCCTGATGTTTACAGCAAACCACAGAAGGAAAATGGATAGTAGGTGTATGGGGTTGTAGAAGTCTTGCTGAGAAAAAGGAGTTCCTTTTCTTAGGCTTTCTAGTATAAAGGGTGAGGAAGCATACAGAAACATGTCACCATATGTGTTAATCACAGGTATTTGTCGTGCAGATGTTAATTTTCTTCATAAGTACCAAGGTCATTGTGATTATACATTATATTATATTATTTACTGTTTAATTTATTTCACTCTTTTTCATCAAGAAAACTCTTCCAGATTTTCCTAAAGAAGGGCAATCCCAAATCAAAGTAATAAATTTAGGCACTGATGTTGCAAAAGTTGACTTTGGCTCCGGAGTTGAAAATGTGTCTGTGGAATCTCTGATGGCGGTAAGAAAGAGTAATGATTAGAGTTGGTAAAAAAAATTGAAACTTATTTTCTAAATTTTTCACAAGTTTTTTTTTAAAATATGTTTTGTTTACTGAAAACTTGCATTTTAATAAATGAAAAAATTGATAACCATTTCAACAATGTTTTTAATAACTTTTTAATAAATATGTTGGAGAAAAAACTCACTAATCATTTTGTAAAAAAGACAAACATTTCTACAAAGTTGACAATATTTCATGAAAAACAACAATAAACCCCCTTTTCATTAGAAAAAAAATTGGTCAGCTCTAGTGATTAATCATCACTTGTACTCTAATCTCTAAATTATATATTTATCTGATAGGGAAGTCTTTCTTCCATCAATAGGTAGCACATGAAAAGTTGCAGACTTTACCATAGTAAAATGCATTGGAATATTATATCGGCACAATATCTTAATATAGAATCCAAGAAATGTAGAGCTAGTAGGGACCTTGAGAGGACATCTAGTGAATCCCCGTGCTCTGAGGTAGGACCAAGTAAACCTAGACCATCCCTTGTCCAACCTGTTCTTAAAAACCACCAATGATGGGAATTCCTCAACCTCCCTTGGAAGCCTATTCCAATGCTTAACTATCCTTATAGTTACAAAGTTTTTCCTAATATTTAGCTTAAATCTCCCCTGCTGCAGATTAAGGTGCTTACTTTTTGTCTTACCTTCAGTGGACATGGAGAACAACTGATTACTGTCCTCTTTATAATACCCTTTAACATATTTGAAAACTGTTCTCAGGGCCCCACTCAGTCTTTTTTTGCTCAAACATGCCCATTTTTTAAAAACTTTCCTCATAGGTCAGCTTTTCTAAACCTTTAATAATTTTTGTTGTGTCATCTGGACTCTCCAATTTGACAACAGCTTTCTTACCCACTAGCTACACCTTCCTAGTTTGACAGCAAAACATTGATAACTACTCTTGAGTGTGGTCTTTGTAGCAGTTTTGAAGCCACCTTATAGTAATTTCATCTAAACCACATTTTCCTAGCTTGCTTATGAGAATATCATATGAGACCATGTCAGAAGCCTCACTGAAATGAAGATATATCACATCTACTGCTTCTCACCTATCTACTAGACCAGTAAACCTGTCAAATAAGGAAATTCGGTTGGTTTGAGATGATTTGGTTTTGACAAATCTATAATATTGGCTATTACTTATTACCCTATTATCCTCTAGTTGGTTACAAATTGATTTTTAATAATTTGTCCCAGTATCTTTCCAAGTATTGACGTTAGGCTGACTGGTCTATAATTCCCTGTGTTTTCTTTGTTCCCCTTAAGGGCCGCCCATGTGGGGGCAGGCAAAAGAACCAGTTTGCCCTAAGCCCTCTGTTGGAGAGGGGCCCCCCAAACCAAGTGGTTTTGCAACTTGGTGCACTGGGTCACAGTGCCACTCAGTTTATGCCCAGCCACTCCTCCCTCATGACAGGGGGTTGGCTGGGCCAAACTTGAGTGGTGCTGCAGTGCCATGCTTCAGATTGCAATGCTTGATGCAGGGAGCTGAGCCCAGCCCCATGAGACAGGAGCTGCTGCTACAGAGTGAGTGCAGGACAGGCTTGCTCTCCAACTCCCCTTCCCACACTGGCCTCCCTTCAGTGTTTTTGCACTGTTGGTTTAATGATTTCTGTGGCTGCAAATTTTTTGGAAGGGTGGGGGCCTCAGTTTCAGATTTTGCCCTGGGCTCCCAAAAACCTCCATGCAGCCCTGGTCCCCTTTTTAATGATAGATACTATATTTTGCCTTCTCCAGTCCTCTGGGACCTCACCCATCATCCTCCATGAGTTCTCCAAGATACTGGCTAATGGTTCTGAAATTGCTTCAGCTAGTTCCTTAAGTACCTTAGGCTGAATTTCATCAGGCCCTGGTGACTTGAATACCTCTAACTTATCTAAATATTCTTTCCCTATTTTGACTTGTATTCCTTCCCTGATGGTAACATTAATTGTGTTAAATATCTGGTCACCATTAACTTTTTTAGTGACGACTGAAGCCAAATAGATACTAAACACCTCAGCCTTTTGATGTCATCTGCTATTAGCTCTGCTTTCCTGCTAAACAGATGACCAAAAAAGTTTATTAGCATGAGAAGCTGGTGAGAGTTATCAGAATTTAGTTTATGTTTTCAGGCCATCTTGCTCTTGTCATCAAACATTCTATTTCTTTCCTGCAAAAAGGGGAACACACTCCACATCCCTAACTTAGGTCATTTTTTCACTTATATAGAAGTGATATCTATGAAATAATACTTCTGGAGGGACTGGGTGATTTTAGGGTTTAGCAGTGGGATGGAGAATCTTCTACCTGTAGAGTGTCAGTTCAAATCCAGTTCAGGATAAGTCTGTGGTGAAAAAAAGTGATTACCATCTGATGGCTAATGGTTGGTCTTTGTGAAATTAGTTTGTCCTCTCAGTACAGTTCTAGCTGACAAATATCCATATGAATTATTATTATTAATTTATATTACAGTAGCACTGTGAGACTTTAACTGAAGTCAGGGCCCATTGTACTTTACATACTCATAGTTAGGGCCCTATCAAATTCACAGCCATGAAAAACATGTCACAGGCCATGAAATTTGGTCTCCCCTGTGAAATCTGGCTATTGCAGGGGAGACCACATTTCACAGAGTTGGGCGGCTGGAGAGCAGTGGCTGCTGGCCAGGAGCCTAGCTCTGAAGGAAGCAGCGATGCCAGAAGCAGTGCAGAAGTGAGGTGGCATGGTATGGGTGGGTTGTCACTTTGGGGGGGCCAGGGCTGTCCTTAAAGGTGGGCGAGTGAGCTATTGTGCAGGACCCCATGGTTGGGGGGTGCCGTGGTCAACCTCCCCCCCACACACACACACAAAGCCTGCACAAGGATACTTTAATTTCTAAGCACTGGGCTCCTGCTGCTAGTCCTGGAGGGGCTAGGGAAAGACAGGACTTCTTCTTCCTCTGCATGGGCCACTCCCAAGGCTGGGTCAGACTCATTTCCGGGAACCACCATGCGTGTGGCATGGTATGGTATTGCCATCCTTCCTTTTGCTCTACTGTTAGAGGTGGTGCTGCCTTCAGAGCTGGGTGCCCGGCCAGCAGCTACCTTCTGGCTGCCCAGCTCTGAAGGCAGCAGCACAATATCCCCGACACTAGCCCCCCCAGTATAGGAATTCACATACTTGGTTCATTTCTTCCTTCACATGACTTCAGAGTACCAAGAATTTCATTCACAGCAGTACGTGGAAGTGCTGATAATTTTCTCTCTATTTCTAAGTAAATTTGTTGCTCCCACCAGATGTTAAATTGATACAGAGGAGTGAAGTCCTCTGTTTAACCATGGTACAGGTACAGCACTAACAGAGGCAATGTAGGATTTTCCAGTGCCAATGTGCCTCAACCTTGTTCTGGAGGAAGCATTCAAGGATAGTGCAACCTCCATACCATTCAGTCTTTGGATTGTCTGCTGAGACTTTCAACAAGGATGTTAACCAATACCAGTTCTCATGGAGGTTTAGCAATGCAGAGATACTACCTTTCCCACACTCTATGAGTAGGGCCCTACCAAATTCACAATCCATTTTGGTCAATTCATTGTCATTGGATTTTAAAAATCATAAATTTAATGGCTTCAGATATTTAAATCTGAAATGTCATAATATTGTAAATGTGGGGGTCTCAACCGAAAATGGGATTGTGTGGGGGTGGAGAGGTCTGTGTGAAGAAAGAAATGAACCAAAACCATTTATGGACAAAATGATTACAGTGGTTTTTAGATGCAGAAAACTGAACAAAAATCTGAAGTGGGATTTATGAGACATGTATGAAGTACCAGAGACCATGTGCAACATACCTAATAAATTTCAGAACTCTTGAATCAGCAGGATCCTAATAAATGCATAGACAGAGTCACAGTTATGTGAATATACATGGCAAATGTTCTTTCTTTTTTTTTTATAGACAAACTATATGACATTTGACACTACTAGCTTAACAAGAATGAATATAGCCTATGGAAATCAAACCTTAAATCAGCCTCTTAATTTTCCGGGAAAAGAACGTCATACTCTCTTACTAAAAAATACAGGTGGCATCCAAACTGAATTGGTAAGCTTGTTTAATTCCTAGTTAGTATACCAATCTCTTAGCTTCCAATCTGCTTAAATGGAGAGTGTTTAATTTCAAGTGAAGTTGAAAAGGCCAGCTCTGTGTGACTCCTCCTTTCCGGGAGAAAAACTACTATGGAACTAGGGGGAACCACAGAGAGAGAGGTGGGAAGATGATATGTATTGTTGTATACCTATACCTTATGTTATATCAATGTGTAAGCAGCAAGGAAACATGTCATTTAATATATAGTTTAAACATTTCTGGATAAACATAAATCATTTTAAATGGATGGTCTTAGTTTCATGCTTCACAACAATCACATGTATTAACAAAACTCTAAATATGAGACTTGGGGGCAGGTCCGCAAAAGGGACTTATATTTAGGCCAGGTCCACACTATGGGTGCTATTGCAGCACAGCTACGATGCTGTAGCTATGCTGCTATAACACCGTAGTTTAGATGCTTCCTACAGTGATGGCATGGGTTTTTCCACTGGTGTAGATAATCTACCTCCTTGAGCAGTGGTAGCGAGGTTGATAGAAACATTCTTCTGTTGACTTGCTCACATCTACCCGGGGGGTTAGATCGGCATAGCTACGGCAGGCAGGGATGTGAATTTTTCACACTCCTGAGTGACATAGCTATGTTGATCTAAATTTTCAGTGTTGACCAGGCCTCCATGTTACAGCACCTAGCACTGAGGTGCCCTGCCACCTCATGGAATCCACAGCCCTGAATTAAGCAGCACATGTCCCTATCCAGTGCATACGGAAAGTAAGACCCAAGAAAGGGGTTCACAAAAGTATGCAAGCTGATTGGAGTGGCTGGGTGGGTTGCCCAAGCTAGTCAATAGGAAATGCCAGAGGTAGGTGCCCATCTCTGGACTAGCAGCAGGCATCCTCTGCTAGGGATTCACAGCCATGAACCATCTCCTCGATTTAAATGCTTAAGCCAGTCCTTTTTCACAAAATAAATAAATAAAAATTAGGAGTCAGTAGTGCCACCTTTAAACCCAGTAGTTAGACCACTCATCCAGAATGTTGAAGCCCGGGGTTCAATTCTCCGTCTCTGCTTGAGCTGGAGCAGGGAACTGAACGTAACTCTCATATGTTCCATGTGAGTGCCCCAACCACTGAGCTATAGACTATACTCTTTTCTTGAAGCTTTTCCACTTTTTATGAAATACTTAGCCATTGGAGCAGCGATTGGAACCAAGGTCTCATAAGTGAGTGCCCTAGAGAGTCATTGTCACTCTTTCTCTCTCTCTCTGGTCCAATTAATATTCAAGTATTTCAGACAAAGTGGAATGGCTTCAACAGGAGAAAAGCCCACCCCAAAATATTGTATAGCCCAGTGGGGTGGGAGTCCTGTGTTCAATCCTTGCTCCAACTCAGGCATAGTGGGGATTTGAACCTGGGTCTCTCCCATATCCTGCTTTATTAAGTGTAAGGGAAGCACTGGAATCACCTCCTCTTCTGTTTTGCTTGGGGTCCAACCTGGTGGACAACCTCAGAGAATGCCTACCAGATCAGGCCCCACAGGTGAGATATGTGGGGGATCCTACTGGGGCTGAGGTGTGAGCTGAACATTAAGATTAAGGTGTCTTAGCACGTGCCCACCAGCAGAAAGTTAGGTGCCATGGGGACTTTACCAGTGGAAATTTAGTTGCTTACAGAATTAGATGGCAGCTGAGGTTATGAGGATTTAACTTGCCTATTTAGGCACCAAAAGTAGTAGTTAGACACTGGCCTAACTCTGCGTATGGATCTACCGTTGGAGGCTTATTCTGAAGTAAGAGACCGTGGATATTGGTACATAATAGTGCACATCATAGCATGTCAAAGATACCAACACAAATATTTTATTCATGATAATTGTCTTTTCCACCAGCTGCTTGATGGCCTTACATCAAAGTCAGAAGATGGAAAAAATCAAATCAGGTATTGTTAATAAACATTTGCTTTACTTCACTTCAGCTGAGTGTTAATATGGTATCTTTATAGTCAATATCTTGTTTCTGCTTCCTGTGCATCTTCAACCTGAATCCTCATTTGTTACTGAAAAAAACAGGTTTTAGCTTATTGATTCATCTGGAGAGGGAGATGGATTCTGTTTTGCTTCTTGCATTAGCTACGCATTTTTAAAGAGAAGAGAAAATGTCATTTAAAAATTATCAAAATCTATTCAAATGAGATGGGGGAATAAAATGATTTCAAATATCTGTTGCATTGCCAATATATAATGTAAAGAATGTTAGCTTTGTGTAAGTTTTGCTTATGTTGTCTTGTTTTATAAGCAAGTATTGTATTCTTTTTGTTTTGTAAAGATTTATAAACAATTTGGCTTCAACCATCAACATCACAATGGGTGGTACTCATCTTGGAGATGTGAAGAATTTTTCTGCCACCAATTATACATCATTTACAAGAGGCGTGTAAGTATTTTGCTTTACCTTAATCCAAAGACTTCCAGGAAAAAAATATTCTTTGTCCTCCGAAAAAGTACATGGAATTCATAGTATTATTATGTAAGTATAATTAATTCCAGAGTTATCTAGATTAACTTCTTTGTTTTTCAGAAAAGAGATTGTTGTTTTTGCAGACAATTCACTGACTTGCAAAAATCAGTCAATATCATTTGGATATGGCAGTGCATACACTATTGTAATTCAAGAGGTAAGTTGTCAATGCTGCTAGAAGATGCAGAATAACTTTTGTGTTACACTACTTTTTAATTTTTCCCATTGAACAAATTACCTACTTGCTATTGATGAAATATAAAATAACTACATGGACTTATCTCATATATTAGAATATTTTATCTTAATGTAGTTTTAATAAACTATAAAAATAATAATGGATGTAATGGGTTGCATTCTGAATCAAAATACATATGGTGAATCATGTAGGGGTTCTAGTTTCTGCCTAACAGACTTAAAAACCTGGAGCCTGGTCAGATACCCAGGGCTTAAAGGTCTTAATATGGATTCAGTCACAAAATTATCACTAATTTAAAATTCTCTATGCACTGTTGATTTATTTTAACATAGCTGGGAGGGTTACTCCCTGATGAAAATCTCATAGCATATTTTTATCTTTAGAAAACATGCAGCATTTTCATTATTGTTTTCTAATGTACCATTTTCATTATTATAATTTCAGTGTAACAACAACACACTAGCACTCAAATATGTTGAAGATATCCAACCCAATACAGTTCACATGGCTTGGCAGCTCCCTCAGTACTTCATTATGACATGTGGTGAAGTAGTCTTCTCTGTCACTGGACTGGCATTTTCCTATTCTCAGGTAGGAGATTTCTGCCAATTACATTAGTATTCCTGAGATGTGTCTTTACCTTTTACTGATGAATGTAATGGTCTTACCAAGCAAACAGAAAAACAGTTAGACTATCATTAAAAAAAAAAAAATCAACACCGCCATCTATGTGAATTAAAACAGTTGCCAGATTTTTTGTTAGTGTAAACTGGCATTTTTCAATGACTTCTGTGTTGATTTCATCAGACCTATTTGATTTACAGTAGCTGATGATCTGACTACTAGTCTTCAGGTCACTCCACCATACGAAGTGCCTGCCAATGGAAACTCTTAGCACCAGGGGTGTACTGCTACTTGTTATGGAGCCAACTCTGGGTGGGGAAAAGCTAAAAACAGAATGAATAGATACTGAGACCTTGTCTATACATGTTGTGCTGGTTTAATTTAAATTGCTTTTTAAACTCCTGTGTGGACACTCTTATTTCAGAGTGGTTTATTTTGTTTTAGCTTCAAAGTGTCCCTCGTCAATTTAAGCTAAATCAAAACAAATTTGATTTAAACTGAAATAAGAGCTTTTTGCATCAGTTTAATTGTGTACCTCTTTGTATCACCTTAAATAATTTCTCTCCCCTTATTTTTAAGACACTCCAATTTGTCTCACATATTACCCATGAGTGCTTTTTTTAATGTCCATTTCCTTTCATTCTGACGAATAGTATATGTACTATAACATGTTGTGCTCATATACTGTTGTGATGGGTACCTTATAAGTACCTGATTTGATTTGTTATTGTGAACTCTGATTTCAGCAACAATTTTGTACCCAGTGAGTTTGAGTCATATGTAAAATATGCTTGTTAATCACTCATTGTACACAATATGTGCTGTATTGTAAGCAATACTGGAAATTTACTGCTTCCACAATCTTGCCCTGCCCTTCCCACAATTCTTTAAATAAAAAAACAACAGCATTTGAGGTTAATGTTAGGAATCAGCTAAACTTTAAAGATCGAACATGAACCTACATAATCTACTTTTATAAGATGTGTTAAAATGCAAAGCAATTCAATTAAATATCTTGTTTCTGTAGGCACCTTCCAACATGAAATCGGTGCTTCAGGCAGGCTGGCTGCTGACTGTAGCTATTGGTAACATCATCGTTCTTATTGTGGCTGGGGCATCAAAACTCAGTGAGCAGGTAAATAGACGTTAGCACAAAACTGTACTGGTATACTGTATTCTTATTGCTTACTATATCAGTTCAGTATCAGTATACTATACAGCTATGGTACGGGGAGAACAATCATCGATAAGCCTCATAAACTTCTTTTTGCATCACTTCGTTACTATGGTGAATTTGTAGTTATAACAAGACAAGAGCATGTGATTTTTTTTTTTTTTTTTTAAAAACAAACCACTAGCTGGAGGAGAGTCATTGAAACCCACAGTCAGCCAGGCAGAATTACCATTTACAATTGAGTGACCTCAGTTCAGACGTAAAGGCCTCACTAGACCATATGAAGAACACTAAGATAATTGGGTAACTAACATTATCACACAAGCTGCTGTGACCTATTTAGATAAAGTCTGATGTGTATACTATACAGTATACAGTGACCAGGTTTTCTGGGTGCAATATTAAGGTGCAGTTCTGAGTTCCATATCCTGGGTCACATACTATGAATAGTCGCTTTCCTTACTACTGTATATGAGACAGAGACGGTTGGTGGCTTGGAGTTTGGAGCACCTTCTTAAGATTCTGCTGGAACTCTCTAGTTCTTCCAAGATTCATTTTAAAACAACTCTTCTTGAAAAAAAAAATCTTATTAGGAGTTCCTGCCAGCTGTGTCCCCCAAGCTTTTTCTACTCCTAATTTCTGCACTGTTCATGAAAGAGGCTAGTTCAGCCCTTTTGAAAGTTGCAAATCATAGAAGATTAGGGTTGAAAGAGACCTCAGGAGGTCATCTAGTCCAACGCCCTGCTCAAAGCAGGACCAACACCAGCTAAATCATCCCAGCTAGGGTTTTGTCAAGCCGGGCCTAAAAACCTCTAAGGATGGAGATTCCACCACCTCCCTAGGTAACCAATTCCAGTGCTTGACCACCCTCCTAGTGAAATAGTTTTTCCTAATATCGAACCTAGACCTCCCCTACTGCAACTTGAGACGATTGCTTCTTGTTCTGTCATCTGCCACCACTGAGAACAGCCTAGCTCCATCGTCTTTGGAACTCCCCCTTCAGGTAGTTGAAGGCTGCTATCAAATCCCCCCTCACTCTTCTCTTCTGCAGACTAAATAAACCCAGCTCCCTAATCATTTTCGTTGCCCTCCGCTGGACTCTCTCCAATTTGTCCACATCCTTTCTGTAGTGGGGGGGCCCAAAACTGGACGCAATACTCCAGATGTTGCCTCACCAGTGCCCAATAGAGGGGAATAATCACTTCCCTCGATATGCTGGCAATGCTCCTGTTAATGCAGCCCAATATGCTGTTAGCCTTCTTGGCAACAAGGACACACTGCTGACTCATATCAAGCTTCTCATCCACTGTAATCCCCAGGTCCTTTTCTGTAGAATTGCCTCTTAGCCAGTCGGTCCCCAGCCTGTAGCAGTGCATGGGATTCTTCCATCCTCAGTGCAGGTCCCTAACAGAGAAATTACTACAGTGACCAGGAGGAGGGGGAGACTACTCCGGCAAATGGTAGAAGCACAGCTGGGCTAATGGGAGAATAAAAGGGCAGCCCATGAAAAACATGTTTTTAATTTCTACCCACCAGGGTTCCTCTCCTATCCACAGGTGAGGTCCGCAGAGTGCCCTCCCATTATTTAAAAACCTCTACCTTCGGCACCTGGCATCAGAGTCACTGTTCTTCTGGCCAAACAGGATTAGGCAGGATCCCTTCAGAAAGTATCAGTGCCACTCTTTAATGAGAAGGCTTCAGTTCAGGGAGGGAAAATGACCCCCTTCTTAGAAGTGGGCTTTTATGACATTCCTGACCCCTGCTAGGCTGAGCAGCACGAAAAAAAACCATGATTAATTAAGGTTTTCCCCTCTTGAGTACTTATTTATTTAATTAATTTGTTATATATTTGTATGACTGTAGTGCCTAGGAGACTTAGTCATGACCAGTGTCCTATTGTGCTAGGTGCTGTACAAACACAGAACAGAAAGGTTGAGTGAATGTGAGGGTTCAAGTTGCACTCACTGCAATCAGTAGAAGCTTTGCCATAGACTTCAGTGGGAATAGGATAATGCCTATTTAGCTCCCAATAGGGCAGTAGTTTTCAACCTGTGGTCCACGGACCCTGGGGGTCCACAGACTATGTCTAAGATTTCCAAAGGGGTCCGCACCTCCATTCATAATTTTTAAGGGTCTGCAAATGAAAAGAGGTTGAAAACCATTGCACTAGGGTAAATATCATGGTCCCAGTCCTTCTAGACAAAGAGAAATGTATAGAGATTCATCGGCAGTCAATCAATAACTCCACAGCATCACCTGGAACAGACTGCAGAGCCTTCTCAGCATGCCCAGACTTTAAACTTTGGTTTATTTTTAGATGTACATGAGATAGCTGGACATATCTCAAAAGTCCAAAGTGCATTAATTTGGGTACCTAGTCCCTTCTAAAACCACATCATAATTCTTTGTGTGTGCGTGTGTGTGTGAAGATAGATAGATAGATAATGATTTTATCTAATCTATCTAACTATCTTTTGAACCAATTCAGGAATGTCTGCTTGTTTACAATGAAATATCATTATTAACCATAGAAATGCCTATAGATAAATAATGTTAACATTTGTTTCTTTACAGTGGGCAGAATACGTGTTGTTTGCTGCTTTACTGATGGCAGTTTGCATTATATTTTCCATAATGGCTTATTTTTACACCTATGTGGATCCAGTTGAGACTGAAGTCCAACTTGATGAGGATGAAAAGAAGAAAATGGAAAACGAGAAAAGCATTTGTGAAAATGGAACTGGGCCTATCTCTCAGTGTGAGCTGTAAAGATGAATTCAGAGCTGAATGATGTAAATTTGTGGCATCCCATTAACTACAGCCACAGTAAGAGAAACTAGAGTATCCTTATCAACCATTGGATGGGCTCTCTCATAGGAAGGGGGGAAAGAGCATTGCTCATGTAAAATGCAGACCCTCCTGAGGAGCAAAATCAAGAGCTTAATCTTTTGTACAGAACATGATACTCTAAGAAAACTCTGGAAACTTGCTCCCAGCAGAATTTGCACTTTAAAAATGAACCTGAAGCTTAAATCTCAAAGCATTAAAATACTGAAATTGCACATGACAGTGTTGAAGAGTTCCTGTGATGAAAAGATGTATTATTTTTATATCGTCTTGTAATTTTATATTGTGAAAAGGCAAATACTGCCAGGAAATAATAATTAAAGCCAAGCCGTTTGCACAGCCCCAGCAGCCCACTGTTATTCAGGAGCAACTGGTCAGTGGAGTTTTGAAAATCCTTTTTAAAACTGCCTTACAAATAATGAATGCAAAAATGCACAGCATAATTACAGAAATATGTACATACTGAATATGTTACCAGTGTTAGTATTATACTACAGACCCCTCCAACCCACCTGTGCACTCTATTTACCCATTTAACTGCTGGTAACTTTAACCAAATATTTTAGACTCAGGTGGCCACCAAGATGAAGACAAAAGCGAACAGAACTCTGAATGAGCAGCAGCATCTAAAATAAAACTCACATAGTAACAAAATATTGTAGTTTGAGATGTTTCTTTGACAGGGAAAAGGAGTTGAAAATAGTGTTTCATGCTAAGGAAGAACTTTAGACCCTACCTTACTTGGAGTGGATTTGTCAAGACGTTACGACAGGCTCCTCTGCCAGCCTTTCTTTTGCCCACTAAATTTACAAACAGAAGCAAATTGTTCCCAATGAGGAAACATCTTCTGCCCAAAGTGTTGTCCTTAACAAATATAGCACTTATTTGCAAACTGTCAACTTTTTTAAGTAATAGGTAGGAAAAGGTATATACAGATAACTATACACAGGTACATCATATGCCACTCTAATTGGCTTGGAGGTAAATATATGGGGAAGCATTCAAATAGGATTAGAGGGATAAATCTTCAGAGAATATGTGAAGATTCAGCATTTTTTGTAATGTTTGCAAATTGCCCAGAGGACTAATGAGTGAGCTTCTTGGTTATTTGGTTCTGAGGCAGATAATTTATTTTTAACTTTCTTTGAAAATAAAATATAATATTGCAAGGCCCATTGGCAAAAGTTGTCATGCTCAGGGTGGGAGTGGGGACAGGAAGAGTCTTACAGTACAGCAGAATGTTCAAGAAGGTAACAGAAACTTGCCTCATTATCTGATCTCAAAGATCTATGCAAATCCCATCTAAAACATAGAAAAATTGCAGCATATTTTTCATTTCCATAAAATACATTTAATTCAGTGAGAATCGTGTACATTTTAACCCTATTCTTCTGTGAAAACATTAAGTAATCCAAATTCACTTCCTTATTTAAATTAGAGATGAGCTGACTTATACAACAGTTATTAGCAGGAAATTTTCAAATAGCTTGAAAATAGTAACGCACACAACTATGACAAACAATGCAATTAGAATTTACATCAGCCACACAACATTTACTACACTACAGTAACTTAATTTGAAGTATTGCTGAGTATCTCACACAAATGTTTTCACTGGTGGTGCATCAGCTATATATATCCTAATAATTTACAATAAAAACAGAATAAAAAACAAAAAAACACTTCTTTTTTCCTGTTCTACCTTCCCCGCAAACTCATGTCATAATGACTCTCCAGCTCCGGAGTGGCCAACCTGAGCCTGAGAAGGAGCCAGAATTTACCAATGTACATTGCCGAAGAGCCACAGTAGTATGTCAGCAGCCCCCCATCCGCTACCCCCATCCAGCCCCGAGTGCCACCCACCCACCGGCAGCCCCACCAATCAGTGCCTCACCCTCTCTCCCCAGCTGTTTTGCAGTGTGCAGAAGGCTCTGGTGAGGAGGAGGGAGGAGTGAAGGTATGGCAGGCTTGGGGGAAGGGCCAGGGACCTTGGGTAAGGGGTGGAGTGGTGGCAGGACCTGGGGCAGAGCAGGGGGTTGAGCAGAGAGCACCCCACAGCACACTGGAAAGTTAGCATCTGTAGCTCCAGCCTCAGAGTAATCGCCTATGCCAGGAGCCGCATATTAACCTCTGAAGAGCCCCATGCGGCTCCAGAGCCCCAGGTTGGCCACTCCTGCTCTAGCTGATAAAAGAGATCTGAATACGAGGCTTTGGATCTAATCAGTATTGCTGCCTAAACATCCAGATGAGTCACTATACCGTGACTCTGCCTCCACAGGGATTGACTGCTCAGTCCCTGTTACCCCAGGTTAGAGTGCAAGAACGATTTCTGAAGTTGACTTGTCTTGTAGAATATAATGCTACTTAGACCACCAGTCTACTTGGAGGGATATTAGGCTTCATATATATTTTTTATTGAAGACAGGATATGCACATATTAATCAAGTGACAATATGATACGTTGAAGTTTGTCATAAGTGCAAGGCTGATTATAAAAATCTACTGTAACTTTGATTAGAAATGAAAACTGTGTACGTGCAGATTGATTTTAATCTTGATGTACGAATTTATATTTCCACATGCTGCTAATGTTATATATTACACAACACAAAGTTCTGCTATATGTGACAGGGTTGCACCAGATGGCTATAGGAGAGTAATAGAAGGCAGATATATTAGGCCCAGGCTAAGTAGGTCCCTTTCCCTGGTAAGATAACAGGGAAGGTTCCAGAACAATCAGGAACCTTATGGAGACAATTAAGACAGGCTGATTAGAACACCTGCAGCAAATCAAGAAGCTGCTAGAATCAATTAAGGTAGACTAATCAGGGCACCTGGGTTTTAAAAGAGAGCTCACTTCATTCTGTGGTGTGCATGTGAGGAGCTGGGAGCAAGAAGCACTAGGAGCTGAGAGTGAGAATGTGGACTGTTGGAGGACTGAGGTGTACAAGCATTATCAAACACCAGGAGGAAGGTCCTATGGTGAGGATAAAGAAGGTGTTGGGAGGAGGCCATGGGGAAGTAGCTCAGGGAGTTGTAGCTGTCACACAGCTGTTCCAGGAGGCACTCTAGACAGCTGCATTCCACAGGGCCCTGGGCTGGAACCCGGAGTAGAGGGCGGGCCCGGGTTTCCCCCAAATCTTCCCAACTCCTGGTCAGACACAGGAGGAGTTGACCTGGACTGTGAATTCAGAAAAACGGCCAAGCTGAGGGCTGCCGTGAAGCTCCAAGGCAAGCAAATCCGCCAATAAGCGCAAGACCCACCAAGGTAGAGCAGGAACTTTGTCACATATATTATTCTGAAATCATCTAGCTTGTTTAAATGAGAATCCCAGACTCCACTGGAACATTTAGAAGTTTACGCTCAACATTAAAGTGTCTTATACAAAGTCCTTGCTACTAGGTACTCTTGTCAATCCTCCTGCTGTGTCTGACATCAACATACTGCTTTGAGGTTTTATTATTCTGTAGGCCTTATTAGGGTTTTGAACTAATAAAAGGTTAAATCATCTCTAGAAGGAATACTATATATCCACTGCATGTAATTGCAATGTCCTCATTTAACACCATTAACTAGCGCAACTTGTCTATTATAAAAATCAGAGGTTTGCTTTTATTTGTATGGTGCTTATCGTATCACTGGCCCTCTTACACAGGATAGGGTAATGATGACAAAACAGAGAACTGCCTCCAGTGGCCATGAAAGAACAGGCCAATCTGTCATCAAAAATAAAAGCCGAGCCAAAAAAGAAATGCAAAAAACGAGGCCAAGCCATCAAACGCAAACAGATCCCAACAAGTCTTGAAGACAGTTACAGAGGCAAGGATGCACAAAAGGAGTTAGGCATTGCAATGCTGAGTGTCACAGCACCTAACGTTTAGGTGACTAGAAAATCACTGGAATTCACAAACCCTGAGTTAGGCGCTTAGTTTCCCTATGCAATGCATGGGGAGAGACCGGCACCTTGGAATATGATTCACAAAATCATGCTAGGCAGGGATCTGTCTAAGCTAGCTAGTGGAAGATGCCAACCGGGTGTGTGGAGGAGGAGGAGAACCTCCCTTATAACTTTTAGTGCAGTGGGTAGGGTACTCATCTGAGATGTGGGAGACCCCACATTCAAGTCCTCCCTGTGCCTGAGCAGGAGAAGGGATTTGAAGAGGGATCTGCCACCTCTCAGGTGTGTACTCTAATCACTGGACTATGGGATATTCTGATGCAGTGCTCCCTCAGTCTCTCCTGTTGAAATTGCTGCACTGTAAATAAATAATTACATCATCACTGGAACATGGGAACTGTGTCTCCCACATCCTTGGTGAATATTCTAATCACCAGGCTCAGGATCCTGTACAAACACACATGCCTGGCATTATGTGTGCAAATGTGTGTACAGCCCATTCCCTGGAGATAGCTATGTGCTTAACTTGATGTTCCAAATCATATACATGTGTTTTAAAATGTTTTATAAATAAATATAAGCAATCCCCACTGGCATCTACCTAGTCATTATCATCTGGCAATTTCCTGTAGCCATCATGGTAGAAGTAAGTCTTGGGGAGGGATTTAAATGGGGAGAGGGCTGTGGCTTTATTGACTAGTTTTGTGAGAATGTTGCATGCATAAGGGATAGAATGAAAATAATTTGTTTGAGAAGGAGACCAGCAAGGGGTCAAATCTGTCATCACTGGTGAAGCAGGGAAAGGACACAAGATATAAGAGCAGACAAGTAAGGAGGGGCAAAGTTGTGAAGGGCCTTAAAGAACAGCTGGCTTGGAGGACAATAGGAATAGGCACAGCCAAACACCTTGGGCGCAGATAAAGGTACTTCAATGAGATGTTGAATTGAATCCACAATTTTTTCTGCAACCAGGACAGCCCATGGAGAATGAGTGTTTTTGTTTCCCTTCACCCTACATACAAAAGCGCATAAACAGCCATATTCTACATACGACAGTCCCTGGATCAATTTCAAAGGGATCCCAGTCACTACAGGAATAAGTTTACAATAATCGTGCCTTTGTCAGTTTTCAGTTGGAATGACCACAGTCAGATCTATATTAGAAAGAAAAGGGCAGATGTTCCACACAATGCAGCAATGTCAGTACATTTTCTGAAGTGCCATCACAATACTGTATTCCATACTGAAAGAATGACACAGAGCGATCCCTCAGCAAATTCTGGACAGGAGTGTCAGCTCTCTTCTTGGAAAAAAAGAAAAAGAAGAAAATAGAAAAAAAAAAGGGAGCCTCCGTAGTCAAACAAAAAGAGAAAACATGTTTGTAAGACTATGAGAGGGAAATGGTGCTTGAAAACTCAACAGTTACAGTGATCAATATCTATTGCTGATTCTGATCATTCCTTTCACAATTAGAGGCAAGTAAATGCCCAAGAGATGAAAAAGGAACCTAGATTTCCAGCTGTCTGCTTATATGTATTCTATGTTTTTGCTGCTTTTGCGCTTCCTTGAATGCCTTAACTGACTGTATTGTACCTCCTTGTTTAGATCTCTCCCCACTTTTGCCTTATCTGGTAAGTTGTTGTTTTTTTTATTTCTCTGGAACAATGAGGACTAGATTACTTTAATTCTTGTAAGTTCAATTTCTTGAAAATCAATACCTTCACAGA